ATGCAAGGTGCAGGATCCCAAGGCTTTGGGCTGTCCTTGACTGCTTTCCCAGGCCACAAGCAGGGAGCTGGATGGGAAGCAGGGTCACTGGAATTAGAAGCGGTGTCCATATAGGATAGCAGTGTGTGCAAGGCGAGGACTTTAGCCACTAGGCTACTGTATCAGTCCCTATTTTTCTTTTTTAAAAGATATCTGGGGAAGAGAAGGAACACAGAACTGGGACATGCCATCCCAATGTCCAAGCAAGAGGCTACATTCTCTGGGGAGAAATTGGAATGGGGGCTTCTGAGGGGAGGGCATGTTTGACAGGGGAGGAATTATTTCTGGGGTCTTGCATAGCCGCGGCCACTACACTCATAGGTGGGCGAGGAAGCTGAGTCAGAACAGTTTGGTGGGAGAAAACTAGAGGTTATGGCACCCACCCACATGGGAGATCTAGGCTGGGCTAAATAGCATCACTTGCTGTCCTCTGGCACATGCAAAAGCTGGGCCTGGTGGACATGCATGGCTGGGTTAGACCACATTACCCACCCAGAGTGTCAGAGCAGGGGGTGAGCCACATCAGGCTGGGTTGCAGCACCCATCAGAACATGATAGAACTGGATCAGAGGGCAGATGTTTTAGGGGTCTGTTGAGGGTGGCCCTGACTAAACTGCTGATATGTGGCAAGCTGGGGTGGGCTAAACCACAGCACTTAGCAGTTCATGTGAGAGCTGGGGCGGGAGGTGGAACTGAGCAGGCAGCTACATCTACCAGTATGTTTATCAGCTGGTGCAGGTGACGGACTGCACCCGACCCTGCACTGGCTGGCACAGAGTCAAGTCTGAGATCACCCCAGGTGAGGTTTCTTGGTAGACTTCCCAGCTAGATCACTGAATCCAAACCCTGGCCACAGGGAAAATCACAAGAAATGTGGCCCAACCTCGGACTGCATGTGTTGAGACTGAGCCTCCTCAGTTGTTGATGCCTGTGATGTAGACAGCGTGTTCAGATGCACACAGGGGATCCGATTACCAACTCTTCTAGGCTAGCAGGGGACGTCACAGAAGATGGAACGCAGAGGAGGCTGGACCATGCTCTCTGCCAAGCTTTGGCAGCACATGTCTTGGCCTGGGGATACACTAAGGTGGACTTGGTCGACTAATAGACCTTAAAGATTTTCTCAATTCTAGTGCAACAAAGCTGACAACATTTCAGAACTATCAAAACCATATACATACCCTTGGAACACTCTCACCTGCACCTGGATCTCTAAAGCATCATTAAATGACTATCTGCCATCCCTGGATGCTGATGTAGTTTGACGGCAAGTAGTGCATGGGCCTCTTGCCTTCTCTTCCTGTGGACACAGTAGAAAAAAAAAATCAAAATGTATGTCCCATCCACCTTTCTCCATACCACAACCCTCTCCGCCCCAATCGGAGGCCCACACAGCGTGCGTCCTCAAACATGTAAACAATTAAAAATAAGATTAAAAATATATGTAAAAAACATTTATAGTCCATTCATTACATAAGTCTGTGATATCTTGCAATGCCCCATCTTCCTCAGCTGGCCCCTCCCACCTCTCTCCAGCTCTTGGCAAAGGGATGTGTTTTACTCTTTTCTCTTTCAGTCTAAGTTACAGCCAGTCTGCCAGGCCCTTCATTCCCTGGTCAGCTTGCTGAGTCCATGCCTCAGGGTGGCCTGCACTACCCACGCCTTTTGGAAAAGCCCTGTACTGCCTTGTGCATTCAACCCAGCTTATTCACTGTTTCATTTCCTCCCCCTGTGACCCCTCACTTCTTCCAGCCACCACTACGGTGAGTTCCTCGTGGACCTTAATCCATCTCAAGCAAGTCCAACCGCTTTTTTTCTTTTAAAAAATTTATTTATTCTTTTTTTTAAAAAAGATTTATTTATTTTTATTACAAAGTCAGATATACAGAGAGGAGGAGAAACAGAGAGGAAGATCCTCCATCCAATGATTCACTCCCCAAGTGACTGCAATGGCTGGTGCTGTGCCGATCCGGAGCCAGGAGCCAGGAACTTCCGGGTATCCCACGTGGGTGCAGGGTCCCAAGGCTTTGGGCCATCCCTGACTGCCTTTCTAGGCCACAAGCAGGGAGCTGGAAGGGAAGTGGAGCTGCGGGGATTAGAACTGGCGTCCATATGGGATCCCAGTGTGTTCAAGGCGAGGACTTAAGACACTAGGCCACGCTGCCGGGCCCAAGATTTATTTATTCTTACTACATAATAAATAGGACACTGAGGGAGGTGATAGGATGAGGTCAGAAGATTGGAATTCCTCTTCCCCTGAAGATAAGGTAAGTGCCAGGCATGGGGCAGTGCCAGGTGTCAGGATCCTGTGGAGGAGCAGCCCCCTTTGCTCCTCACACTGGCATATCCTTGTCACCCAGCCCCTGCTCCTGCTGCCATGGAGAAGAAGCTAGGCCTGGAACATGGTATGTGATTGGTACAGGTAGCAGGCAGCTAGCTGACCAAGCAGGGTTTGGGCCTGTCTCCTGTTTTTTGGCAGGCAAGATGGGCCAAACCTCAGCCTCTCCTCTTTGCTCTCCTCTTCCTCAGAGACTTCATTGCATATAATAACAACCTGGTGTCCCCCGGTAGTGTGCACAGGGTCCGAGCCTGCCCCCCAAGGCTGGAGGGTACACGTGATTGGAGTTTGAAGTCATCCAAGCTGAGCATGCGCTGACAGGACAGTCCAAGACTGGCCATAGGACTGCATGCTCCCGCTGCTCACGGTTCGGGGCTGCAGCCTCCACCCCATCATCCTTGTTCTTGGTTGCCTTGGTGAGGCACAGTGTGGTCCACGCCAGCACGTGTTCAGCATTATCCTCTTATACTCCACGGTGGAAAGTGTGTGGCCATCACAGATGACTTTTGCTGGATGTCACAGGCCACAGGCGATGATGTGCAGAAATCTCCCAGTGAGGTGCCCACTAAAAGGGTGCAGTGCAATTCACTGGGAATTTGTTCATATTGGGACAAAGGCGCTTTGTGGGAAGCTGAGTAGGCAGCCCCTGAACTCCTTGGGAAGCTGCACCAGCCTTGGAATACCAACAAGAACCCTGAGAGTGAGTGCCACCAGGCTCCTGCCATGAGAAGAGTTATCTATCCCACAGGAACCAGGACGAGGCAAAGCTCACAAGACCCAGAACAGACGGCTTCATTCCCTGCTTGTCCATCTAGCGCCCTCTACTGACAAAGATGAACATGCCCAACTGGCAAAGAAGTGTACTGGGTCCAGCTTAAGTATCAAAATATGGGCAAAGGGCAGAGATGGAGATCAAAGAAAATAAATAAAGTGCTGCATGCACTTTTGCATTGAAAGTGAAATTAAAGAGAACTCTTATAGGAAAGATGAGCATACTTTTCTCCTGAAGAAAAAAAAACCATGAATACAAAGTAGGGATGCTCCCATTTGTATTCACATCCATCAAAAGGCATGAACTCTAATAGACAAAGACCGAGTCCGGGAGGACAGGGGCTTGGAGGGTATGAAGGGTAGAGGGGCCGCTCCCTGGAATCGGGGGGCAGTGCTGGTAAGTGGCTAGCCAGACCTGTGCACAGCACGCTGAGCTCGAGTGTGGTACAGAGACTTATCCCCACGTTGGAAGGGATCTGCAGTGGTGATTTGAGAATGTTCACGATGACAGACCCATTGATCTTGATTTTTGTGAAATGAAGAGAAATGAAGCAAGGCTAAGCGAATGGATGATAAGTAAGAGTGGTGAAAGCCAGTTTTCCAAGTTTCTGTAACTGTGAAAACAAACAAGCCAGCACATGATTTTTGGATGTAATACTTGAATATAGTCCACGCACCAGCCACTAATGCTTTAGGTCCCTTAGAATGGTAGTATTAGAAAAGCAGATAATTGGTTTAACCAGAAATTCATGATTCAGCGTCACATACAACATCTGTGATTTAACCAAATCAAATCACTTCTTTTTTTGAAGATTATACTTATCTTTATTGCAAAGTCAGATATACAGAGAGGAGGAGAGACAGAGGAAGAACTTGCATCCAATAATTCACTCCCCAAGAGACCACAATGGCCCAAAGCTGTGCCAATCCAGAGCCAATGCTGTGCCAGTCCAGAGCCAGGAGCCAGGAACTTCCTCCAGGTCTCCCATGCGGGTACAGGATCCCAAAACATTGGCCATCCCCAACTGCCTTTGTAGGCCACAAGCAGGGAGCTGTATGGGAAGTGGAGCCGCTGGGATTAAACCGGAATTCATATTGGATCCAAGTGCGTTCAAGGCGAGGACCTTAGCCAGTTGCCCACCACACCGGGCCCAAATCAAAACATTTCTATCGATGAGCAGGCTTTTTTTATTTAATAGGAAGCATCATGCTGCAGGTGTTTCTGCTTTGGCAAGGGATGCAGAAGGATCCCTTAGCTCCTCACAAGACCTCTCAGCATTTCCAGGGTAGCACAGGTTTTTGGACTGGTGCTCACGGTGTGGTCACAATGCCTACTTTCCCTGACAGAGCTGGCTCCTGGAAACTTTCACCTGAGTCATTGTGAAAAGAGGGGAGGGATATTGTGTTGAAGCTGCTTCTGAGCTGGCATGGAAGGAAATTGATCACTATTTGATTTGTAGGAGTTGCAGAGAAGTGAATGGCAGAATGAGAAGTAAGCAAACAGGATTCCACAGTCCAGTTCTCCAGGGTGTCTCCCCGGATCTACAGAAGACACTGAGGATAGAAACTGGGAGGCAGAAAGGAGATAGAGAGAGTTGGAAGCAATGGAGAAGACCTACACATGGAAGAGGCCTGCAAAAGGCAAGGATACCACAAAAGGGACCAGTGGAGAGCAGGTCTGGTTCTTCTGGATGAGTGGGGAAATACAATGTGTGCGTGTGTGGGCAGGGGAGCTGAGATGATATCTCCCCAGCCAAAACACAGGCCTAGTCTTGACCTTCATCATAATGCCCATTGATCGCCCTTTGTGCCGGTCAGACCACACCACGAAGAAAAATGCAATTAAAACACATTCAGTCACCTGAACATTTATTAGACAGACACCAGTTATGTTCCTTCCACCAGCTTCTTGACACAACAGGGTGTTGAACTCAACACTCTGGGTCCTGGGCCAATGGGGCTAACAGCAGGTTGCTCAGTACTTGTCAGGCAGTCCCTCGGGTCGGAAGTGATTGGGGTCTTTGCCGCTGCGGCCCCAGCGGTTGGCAGCCTGGTCGGCCTCTGTGTCCTCTGCCCCTCGGCCCAGGAATTTCTGCAAATTTTCTCGGGCATCACTGCAATCCAAGCAGCAGCAAGACAATTAGCAGCAGCCTGCTGAGCCACAGTCACTTCCCCATATCATTGGGTAAGCCTGGGCTCCAAGAAGAGCCTGGGACAGCCCAGGCTAGAGGAACAAGAGCACTGGCCCTGCCAGACAGTCCCGCTCAGTCCCATGCATGTTTGGGCTGGATGAGCAGCAGCAAAGAAGGAGGGAAACCAGGGAATCGCTCCATGGTCCTGGTTCCCTTCTGGGAAGTAGGTTCGCCCATCTTCCCTGGTCATCACCAAAGTCTACCCTGAGCAAGACCCGCAGCGGAAGGTCAGCAGAGCAAGGGTGAACAGGGATCAAAGCACAGCACACCTCTGCTGCAGGACATTCAGGCTCTGCTCCCTGACCCTGCCCTCCCAGCAACCCCTGGTACCTGATCACTTCAGCAGCCCAGACTCCTCCAGGGCCTCTTTGGGCAGCGTCATAGTTCCCCCGAGCGTGGAAGTACTTGTCAGAATTTATGAAATTGGCTTCTTTCATGTCAGAGTAGGCTCTCCACATGTCCCAGGACCCTGAGGAGGAGAGGAACATCAGGTGCACGTTGAGATGAGGAATGGACAACCCCTAGTGGCTGGCATTGTGGCAACAGGTTAGCCTGATACCTGTGACACCTACATCTGATATGGGAGTGCAAGTTCACATTCCAGATATTATGTTTCCAATCCAGCTTCCTGCTGAGCAAGGAAAGATGGCTCATGTACATGGAACATGCCACCCATGTGGGAAACTCTTACAAGTTTCAGCTCCTGGCTGCATCCTGGCCCATGCCCTGCTGCAGACATCATTGGGGAGTGAACCAGTACACAAGAGACAACACTCTGTCTTCCTGTCTTTCTCTCTCTCTCTATCTCTCACTATGACTCTCTCTGCATCTTCTAGTTTCTCTGTCACTATGATTTTCAGGAAATGAATGATACAATTTGAAAATGAAGAAAGAAATACTGGAGCTACTTGGGGAGGAGTGAAAGAGTGAACAAGCTCTCCTGACTTCCAGCTGGGATCATCACAGCCTGGGTACCACTCCTGCATCCTAGCGGCCTCTCATGTCCCTCTGCTGGGTTTAAGCCAATGGCTCTCAGATGTGTCTGCCTTTGCTGGAGACAGACTGGGAACCTGATGCCAAGACCACATTTGGGCTCACTCCCTCAGGCTGTGCAGGCACAGTGGAAGGGCCTTGCACACCACAGTTCCAAAGGCTCGCCAGGGAATTCCCAGTATCCCTCAGATGGACCACAGCTGAGCCTTAGGATGTGGGCCTTCCTCCATCAACCTTACCTCTCATAGCCTCACCCACAAAGTCGATCCAGGGGTGGCTGCTGACTGCCAGGACCAAGGAGCAAAGGAACAGGCCTGTGAGGAGCTTCATGGTGCTGCAAGGCCAGGAGACAGAATATCAGACACCTGCAGACAGAACCCCTCCCCTTGGGCATCTGTCCTGCAGAAAGAGTCTGCTCCAAGTGTCCCCCAATGTCCAACCCAGCATCAGCAACCACAACAGGTGAATTCTCTCTGAAAGGCACTTACAGTCTCTTAGCACAATGGTTGGTTTTAAGTCTCTCCCTGGAGCAGCCCTCAGCAGGTGCTGGGGACACAGAGCTATGTAGCTGCCTGCCCCTGCCTGGGAGAGGAGGCTGTATTTATGCTGAGCCTCCCGGGCTGCGGTCCAGGGGGAGGACAAAGCCAGGCACACACCTGGCAAAGTCCCTCAGGTCATTTCCCCTCAGGTCTCTCAGGTCACTTCCCAGACTCCCATATGTTCTTGGTCCACATGTCACAAAAGTTCCCATTGAGCAACCAGAGCACACCAGGTGGGTGTGCTGTGCCTGGCTGCCATTGGGAAGATGGGCAGCTCTGCCCATCAGTGCTGGATATCCAGAGAAGAGGGGACTCAGCGCTGCAGCCACGGGCCTCAGAGCTGGGTGGTCTAAGATGGCTCTTCCATCAGCCTCTTGCTCAGGTTGGAGCTTGTGTGGACAGAGAGATGATGCCTGAGAAATGAGGCCACTTGGAACCATGTCTAAAGTCACTGAGCTGGGAGCTGAACAGGCAGTGCCCATCAGCCTCACGTGTGCCCTGGAAGGCACCTCCCCCTCCTCCCTCTAGAGATGTGAACCTCTCAGCTCCCAGGCACAGAAACCCCTGCCCAGCTGGCTGAGACCAGCAGAAAAGCTACTTCCTGAGCTGGCCCCTCAGTGGAGCAGTGGATTTATGGCAATGTCTGCTTCCTCAGACCAACAGGGAGACCCACATGAGGAGAGGAAAATGTTTGTGTGATAGCGAAGAAGCACAGTGGACACTACAAAGCCATGCAGAGGGCAACAGGCAATGACACACCAGCAGGGGAGGTGCCAAGCTCCCTGCCAGGGGAAATTGGGGGAGCCTCTGTGTGCCTGCCGTCCTAGGTGACTCCTGCCCACTTGTCACTCCTAGGTTCAAGGATCAATAAGGCCCCCAAGGTCTACAGGTGCAGGAGCATGGGAGCCAGGTGACACACTGGGGCCCACCAGAGAAGACCATAAACAGATCACAGGACCTCTGGCTCTAGAGAGAAAACCTTTCATTGAAGCTCTGACCATTCTAAGATCTTGTGGCTGGGCCAGTTTGAAAGGGGTTCGTTGCTTGGGGTTGGGGGCATTTGCTACTCCCTGCAGTATGGTGACTGTGGTGTGTGCTCCTGCCAGGTTGGACCCAATGCTGGCGACTCACGCCAAAGATACTGCGGGAAGGCAGTGAACGAATCCTCAGTCTTCACTAGGCCGGCCAGTGCACCAATTGGTGCCAGGCTTTGCCTGCTGGCTGTCCGGTGGCGAACCATGGGGTTTTTAAGATATGTAGTTGCTACCTGGGAAACCCATGACTAAGGCCAATTTGAGTGTAGGTGAGAAGTGAATTTTCGGTGATTCCCTGTGACAGTGTCATGAAAGATTCAGGCATGCGTGGGGACTGAGACCTGGTGGTTTGGAGGGAAGTGTCCAGAAGATAATTTGGGTTAGACAGATTCACCAGCTCAATTAGGAATACAGAGATGGGCTATTAGCAAAGAACATCACACACCAGCCCACACCAAAGCTATGGATGGGGGCCTCTTTGGTAGTGTTAGGTAGCATTACTCGACTGGGTGGTGGAGTTGTGGAGTGATCACATTTGGCAGGATCAAGACTCTGTCCAGCACGCAAGAGAACTTGATCTGTGGGTAGACTCTGTGGGGTTGTGTGGGCCCAACCTCTGGGATTCAAGTCCCCCTGGTTAGCTTGCAAGCTGGGGTTGCAATGGTCTAAGCTAGGTGTGACCATGACATCTGCCATCTCTCACGGGTAAAGGAACCAACAGTCAGCATAGGTCAGGCAGCAGCACCTGAATGTGCATCCTTAAACAAGATGTGGGGTGGGCCGGGCTGCCACTGGAAGGGTGCAGAATGGGCAGGGCTGAACAAACCTTAACTCACAAGAAACAACAGAAATCAGGTTGGAGCACATGTCATGCCACATAGGTCCTTGCACCTACGATCTGTGTGAGGCAGGGACACTAAGCTACAGCATCCAAGGGGCCAGGACAGGTGAGGGGCTGTGCCAAGCTGAGACAGAACGACCACTGGCCTGCACGTGATCTAAGGCTGGGAATAGGCCCACTTGGGGAACAAAGGGACACCCTAGCTGGGTTGAGTTTTCCACTAAGGAGCGCATGGGCTGGAATTGGGGGCTGTGTTCTGATCAGGATACGATTGTAATCTCCCTTGGCACAAGTGTGGACTGGGACTGGAAGCACCAAGCAGGGCCAGACTCCAATATCATCTGGTGTTCTGGAGGACTGGGGAGAGATGTGTGACAGACTAGGCTAGGTCTCAGCCCTTACTGAACCAAGTGTGAGCTGTATGGGGGTATGGAAGAGCTGTAGCTGGGTTGAAACATCCAACTGTAAGAACCAGATTGGGTTGAAGGCCAGTCAGGAAAAGTCACTTTTCCTTCTAGGACAGGAGGTGAACTGAGTAGGGCTGGCTCATGGACCCATTGGTATGTGCAAAAACTGGCATTGGGAGAGTTTCTGATGGAGGAGCCTGGACAAGTTCTCTGGCGGGACATAGTCCCTGCAGGTAAGCGCAAGAAGCACAATAGGGAACAACCCAGAACAGGCAATAGAAATTATCCCACTGGTATACACATGGCATGGGTTGGGGGCAGACCAGGCTGAACCTATTCACATTACCCACTGGTGAATCTGAGCACCAGAACAGAGTGGGTCGAGCTAGGTTTGGTTGCAACACATACCAGTACACAATAAGGAATGCCAAGGTGAGATGAGCTGTACCAGATGTGGTTGCAGCACCCAAACATCACATGTGAAAACCAGGGGGAGGAGGCAAAGCCAACAGGGTAATGTGGGCTCCCCTGCTGGACAACTACTTCCATTGGAAAGCATGAGTTGGGATGAGAGCAGTTTAGACTAGGCAGGGCTATAACACCTGTGGGCCATAAGTGAGCTAGATAAGGGAAGGGTCAGGTTGGGCTGACTATTCCAACTGGTGCAAGCACAAATTAGAGTGGGTGAGGGTTGTTTGGGCTTAGCCACAGCATTAGCTGGCAGAGGCTGGCACAGGGAGCTAATTCTGTCAAGTCAAATGCCAGAACCATCTGGAGACTGCATATCTGGGAGTGGGTGTGGCCTAGAAGGGAAATAGTGGGCACCTCCCTCAGGGTTACCACTCTGACTGGACAGCATGAAAGCCAGGATAGGGACAGGGGTGGCTAGACAGAAAGACCTGGCAGTAGGTATATGGGCTGGATAATAGGTTGGTTGAGTTGAACTAGGCTTCAATGTCCATTGACATGTGCAAGAGCTAAATGGGATGTGGGACAGACTGGACAAGCCTGCGGTACATACTAGCAAGCATGGGAACCATGGTAGGGGGCAGAACTGGTGGGGGTTATGGGGAGTCGCTCCAACTAGGCTGCAGCTCCAACTGGTTTGCGTGAGGACCAAGTATGAAGTGGGTAGGATTGAGCTGGACTACAACACCTGTTGGTTTATGAGGAAGACGGGGCTAGAAGCAGAACCGACCCAGCAATCGCAACAACCAGCATGTGCATAAGCTGATTGGTGTGATGGCCTGTGTTGGAGTCTGTACTAGCAAACTCATTCAAGAATCAGATCTGGGGTCATCTCAGATGAAGTTTCTTTGGAGATCCCTCCAACTGAATTGCTGATCTTAGAACCCCAACCATGAAGAGACTGTCAGACAGTGGACTCTGAACAGGTTTTATTGCGATTGGAACTGTGAGATTGGCAGCAATCCAGAACTGATGAACTATCAAAACTGTTTGAGTAGGATCCTCGGAGTGCGCCTCCTGTTGGGGATCGGGGATGGGTGGGAGATTGGGTGGGGCTTTTCCCTTTGTTACTCCCTTAAGCCAAGATACAGGGAAAAATGATAATATTAGTGTGGAAACAATGGTATTACCCACTTTCACCCTGTAGCCCTTGACCCCTTGTACCCTAATCAACTAAGATTATTAAAATAAATTTTAAAAAAAAGAAAGAAACTGTGACCATTCTAGAAGAGAAGTTCCAGAAGATGGAGCCACTAGCCACTGTTGCCAACACTCTGCAATCAGAATGAGGAGAGGTACTGATGCCCTTCAGAAATCACACCAAACAAGTTAATGCCACTTCTTTTCTTTGCCACATTCTATCAGATCTTACTACTGAATACTCTTTTCTTAAACTTCCGTGCTTGCTCAGTCTATAGTTAATGGGTCTTTACTTGCTAATATAAATGAGATAGAGGCCCTGAAACACTCCAACTCTCAGCTTGAAGATGTCCTACTTTTAGGAGAGAGGAGAGGAGAGGAGAGGAGAGCAGAGCAGAAGAGAGGAGAGGAGAAGCAGAAGAGAGGAGAGCAGAAGAGAGGAGAAGCAGAAGAGAGGCGAGCAGAGGAGAGGAGAGATTGGTCAAGATTTCCTTCACTTCATAGAAATGATTTTGTGTGTTTATGACATTTGCACCCAAGGTAGTCAGTTTTCTCCAGAACAACATCCTCATGGGGCCAGAAATCATTAAGATAAGGAGACTCCATTTCTGCAGAGACCAGATTGGGAAATGCAACAAGGTCTGCACCCTGGCACCTTCCAAGACAATGGTGTTCAGTAGGCCCTGCAAGGTTCAGTTTAAAGGCAAGTGAACAACAGAAGCCGTCTATGTCCTGTGGTCCTTGTACCTGTGGTGTTCATCACACCATCTGGACTAGAGCTGTGTGCCCGCACCCTCATGGGTACTGAAACATCTCGACCTCCTACTGTGGCTGACCAAGAAAGGGCACACCAAAAGCTACATCCTGCTTACACACAGCTCTTCTTTCCTGGTAATTGTTT